TGGACCTTAATGCTCTGTATTATATTTCTTTTTTATTAATTTAATTTTAAATAGCTCACTCCACATGTCAATCCCAGTTCCCTCTCCCTCTCCTCCTCCCATACCGCCCACCATACCCCCAACCTCCCACCCCATCCCCATTTCCCTCCACACAGGGGATATCCAGAGTCTGTCTTTTCACTCAGGGCAGGGTCCAGGCTCACCCAAGAGTCCAGGCTGAGACAGCATCCCTCCTTGTGCCGTGGATACACAAAGTCCGTTTGTATGCCAGGGATAAACACTAATACACTACCCAGGGCCCCATTGGTGCCCAAGCCCCCTCTCTGACTCTCACACTCAGGGGGTCTGGATCAGTCCCATGCTGGCCTCCCGGGTGTCAGTCTGGGATCCAAGAGCTCCCCCTTGTTCAGATCAGCTGTCTCTACTGGTTTTGCCAGCCCATTCTTTGCCAATTTGCTCATCGCTCCTCTCTCTCTGTCACTGGGTTCCTTGGGTTCAGTTCAGTGTTTAACTGTGGGTGTTTGCCTTTGCTGCCATCAGTCACTGGGTGAAGGTTCTAGGATGGCTATAGACATCAAGTTCATTATCAGGAATGAACATTTAAGGTGGTCTCTCCACTGTTGCTTAGCTTGCCAGTTAGTGTCATCCCTTTAGATCACTAGAGGTCTCACTGGTGCCAGATCTGTCTTCTAACCTATGACTCCCTCTTCCCCCTATTCTATCCCCCACTCAACCTTCCTCTTCCCCCATGACCTACTCTCTCTTCCTCTTCTCCCCTCTCTTCTTCCAGCTCACCCCCCCCGCCGTGTTCCCAATCTGTTCAGAAGATCTTGCCTCATTGCTCTTCTCTGGGGTACTATGCATATCTCTCTTAGGTTCTTTCCTGTGTCCCAGACTCTCTGTTAGTGGAAGTGCAGACTGGCACAATCCTGATCCATGTTTAAAATCCATATATGAGTGACTACATACCATGTTTGTCTTTTTGTGACTGGGTTACCTCTCCCAGGATGGTTTCTTCTTTCAAGGGTCCAGGATATGGTCTGCTACATTCCAATCTGTGGTCTGCTTCTGACTTATCAAAACTGCATCAGATGAGGTACAATAATGCAAAAACCAATAAATTTGTAGAAGTGGTGGAGACCATGGTGAGTTGTAACTGGATAATGTCCATATATTCATTTAATGGGAACTGAAAAACAACAATAAAAACTTTTGAAATCCTTTTATTACTCTCTTGAAATGTTTAATGCATAAAAACTGGGGAAATTCACAGTGAAGTCTGTGCTCAGGGTTAGGAGTTGATGCAGAACCAAACAATCTCAAAACTCAAAATTCAGCTGTCTCAGTAATGTAGTTCATCATGAATGCCACTTCTTTCATAGGAACACACAGTGTTGACTAATAGTCCACAGGAGATGGAAAATGCATTTATAAATACTGAGATTTATTCCATTTCCTAGCCCATCTAACTTGACGTATTTTCAAATTATTACTAACATAATCTTTCTTGCTACTGTTCTTTTCCAGAGGATTAAACTAAAGAGTTATAGAGAAAACAATGATCACTAGGAATTCACATTTTTCTAAAGTATGACTTTTGGGGTATTATAACAATGTTGAACAAGTCTGTACACAAAAACAACACAGTACTGAAATCTCATGGCTATACAAGGCTAGCTAAATTTTTTTCTTTTGATAACTGCGACATTCAGCCAAAATGAGAATTTTAATAAGGTTGGAGCTAACTCCCATTTCATTTGGTAATTCACCGATATGTTGGCATTTCATTTAGAATCAGAGTTTGTTTGTGTGAATATGGAAGACTAACATTCTTAAAATATCAAAATAATGGCCTTTATATAAAAACAAGTTTATTTGATCTATTGTATTGCTCAACTTACTCGAAATCAGACTATAAAATGCAGAAATGTCTAAAGCAGCATTTTTCTCTTAAAAATGTTGCTTATTATTTTCTGTGGTAAGAGTGTGTGTGAGAGGGGAGTGAGTGAGTGAGTGGGAGACTAGCAGCTGTGTGAAGAAATGTAACAGAGTAGTAAAGAGAAGTATGCATAGAAGAGAGATATGTGAAGAAAAGAGATGTGGCTGTATGAAAAGAGATCTAACTTTGTAGAGAGACTTTCAAGATTTTTCCAGATGAAGTAAAAGAGAAAGTTACCATCAGGAAAGCATGAGCTTGTTCCTTTTATCTAAAGCTACCATCAAAACGTGTGAGTGCTTTCCTAAAGACCCTCAGATAGGTAAGAACCATTTCTAAGTCCTGCTGCACCAGAGGCATTCTTTCTGCAACCCTGGGAGCTGGCCTCTCCAGCTGCAAAGTCTTGACAGCACATGAATAGGAAAGGTTCTTAGGGCAGAGTCAGAAGAGAGGCGGGGAAGAGTCCATTCAAGCCCCTTGACCATACATATGACACTTATTGCCCATGTCTAAACTTGTCATAATTACTCTCAACTCCTCGGCTTACAAATGAATCCATGTAAAAGTAGCTCCTACATTTTTTCAAGATATATTTAAAGTACAGTGGTCAAAGGCAGCTTCTCTCTGAGAAAATGAGCTATACCATTAAAGCAAAGTGAAGAATTTATCTTTACTTATTAATTCTACTTAGTTTCTCCTTGGGAATTAATGAAACTTAACATTATGTGTTCCCTGATTGTTTAGCTAGAGAATCACAACTTACACTTATGATTGTTGATATTGTCATGACCTTCTGTAGATAAAACATCTCAACTAACTGCTGTTACAAAGTCATTTGTGATTCTATCTCATTTTCATAGTCCTTTGAAACACTTTGCACATAATGGGGAACAATCAAACCATACAGGTGGCCTATGGAATAACACAACAGCTTGTCCCCTTTCCTCAATTACTTGAATGTTTGATCCTCTGGGGAAATGTTATACTTAAAATTGTGTTTATGAAAGATCAGTAGAGGTAGGAGTAATCCAATTAAAAATAGTCTTCACCCTGCAGTTTTGTTACCCAATGTAGAACTTTAATTCTCACTATAACTTTGGTTGATAAATCTGGTAATAAGCTGCTTCAATGAGAAATGATAAAACTTAACAGAAATATATTCCCAGACACAATAGTGCCCTCTATAAAGGAGAATTTACTTCCTATTTTATTTCTTTTATAAATGATAATTTTTAAACATTTTTAGTAAAAAAACTTATATTTCCACATATTACTACCATATCCCACAATACTGCATCTTTACTCTTAGAGGAATAACAAGAAAGTCCTACTAATGTATTATATTCACAGGGTTTGGGGCTCAGCTTTTGGTTTTAGCCCAATAAGTTAATATTTACTTTTCAGATAGTGATATTTGGGCCAATTTGTTTTAAGTGTCTGACCACCATGAAGTATTAATTATTTAATTCATTAGTAATTAAACACAAATTTTCTAGATAAAGTTGAAACTTTATATGTCAATTTGCTATTTGCTTTTGACATTTATAAGAAAAATTACAGAAAATGCAGAGAAAATTACAAAATTATGGCAATTATTCTAATATATGTGGATTTTAAATATTAACAGCAAATACAGACTTACATGATCTGATACATATCCATAGAAGGCAGTGGATGCTAAAGCCAAGACTTTTCACTTATTTACATTATTCACTTCTCACATTATTTTCTTGCCCTCTTTTTAACTATGAATTTGAAATGCTGAGAATTCCTGGCAATCAAGTTCTGTACATGACTGCCTTTTAGTAAAGAAGTTGCCAAATATGAGCTATGTTCTTGCAAAAACTACAAACAGAACCAATACTGTTTACTTTTCTTTGGGTTCATCCCCACAGTGTTGGTGGAGAATCGTGTGTCATTTCAAAATCCATTATGCGTGTATACGTGTATGGTGGTGAAGGGGGATATTGAGTACCCTACTCTATCATTCTTTACCTTATTCTTTTGAAACAAGATATCTCGCTCAACTTAAACTTAGGCTGGCAGCCAACAAGCCCCAATGATGCTCTTGCCACTGCATCCTACAGCATTGGGTTTGAAGGCATATGACCATTGTTGCTTTTTAATGTGGGTGCTGGCAACTGAACTCAGATCTTCATACATTCACCAAAGACTCTTAAGCATTAAAATATCTGTTTGGTCCAAGATTCTGATTTTTCTAAGGTTAGTACCAGTTATAGATTTTATATATATATATATATATATATGTATATATATGTATATATGTATGTTTGTGTACTTAAAGCAAGATCACATACACATGAAACAAGATTATGTCTATACATACCATAAACTTAATACATATGATTATGTATACTGTATGTGAATATGTATATACATAGCATATGACTTTACAGGCATGCATTTCTGTGATATTATATATCATCCCTAAGATATATTGGGCTACCTTCATATGCTGAAGTCTACATAAACAGACTGTGTTTTTTTTTATTGTTCCATTCTAGATAATACCAATAAATCAGTTGGGAGCTCAAATCTTTTTGACTAAGGAGGGGTTAACTGTTTAATGATAATGATGACAAGCCACTGTTCTTAGAAAAGCTTTTGCACATGTGCACGAGTGCATGCTTGTGTGTGTATGTCTGTTCTTCACACACTTCACAAGAAATTAGTATTTAAGTGCTATTAATCCTAGTGTACTCGTTTGAACAGATTTTTTGGGATTTCTATATGGTATGCTTGCTCTTCCAAAGCTTTTCCTCCACATAAAGAGAGTTCATTGTTGTTCGTCTCTGAAAGAGTTCATTGGTTCTCAAAAACACAGCCATCTGGTGGTAGAGTTCATGTAATTTCCTGAACTTCACAACATATTTGATGCAAACAAGTTAATTTTCATATTTGATACAAAGGGCATAATGAGAGTCTATTGACTAAATATGGATACAAATTGCCTTGCTCCCAAAGATGCTTGAGGGGTCAGGAGCTGAGGGCATATTTATGAATTTCTCCAGAGCTTGCCTTACTTTCAGGTAGTGGAATAACTCCTCATGGTGGGATATGTCTAATTTTACCACCCCAGCCCCATTTTTAATTTCTTCTTTTTATTCTTTGTATATCTGAAATGTTGACTGTGAATGGAAAGGTAAAGAAAATGCTAATCACTCTTGTAAAGATATTTCATCTCATCACAATACTATTATTGGTTGGCTGTCTAGATCTTCTAACTTATCCAGGAAACCTGGGTCATGCAGTAGAAAAAATTCACTATATTCTTGCAGAGGGTTTTGTAAATGGAATTTCTTGCTAAGCAGCAATCTCCACACTCAGTCTCAAAGAAACAGTCCACATGGACTGGAGAGATGGCTCAGTGGATAAGAGTACTGGCTGCTGTTACAGAGGTAAAGCTCAATTCCTGGCATCTCCATTTTAACTCACATTCATCTTAACTCCAGGTCCAGGGCAGCTAACCCTTCTTCTAACTTCCATAGGCATGAAGTACACATGCATACATGTAGCAAAACAGTCATACAAAAAATAAATAAATTTAAAAAACAACAATTACACAATAAACCATGGTACAGTATCTACACTTTCTGATTAAAATAAAACGAAACAGGAACTTGGATGTATACATTTGAAGAAGAGAAACTCTATGATAGTCTAGGGAGTGTTTCTTGTGCTTGTTGTATTACAATGGTTTCTTTAGAATCTTCTCTCTAATGGCTGATGGTGGCTAAGTACTCTGTGTCCCCAGAAATAATCTATAGCTCCAAGCTTAAAATTTAGGTATTTTGTCTTGTAAACAATAGTATTTCAACTAAGCTTTATTCATTTGTTATTTCAGAGGTATCAGAAATAAATTTGAAACTAGTTTGTTGTTTACAGGGAATAGCTGCTCTGTATTTTCATTAAAGTTGGAGGAAGGAAAAAATGGGCCATGAAATTTAAGTATAAATTCAATAAGTAAAGATTTATCTTGAAGTTAATATGTTGCTTTAAAACACTATCATCAACAGCAAGGTAGCTCTTTGAGGAATGACATTAACAGAGAAAAGAATTACGTCCTACCATTGGAGCTTTGTTGTTTTCCTCAAACCCCATTCCATGATGGCTCCTCCATTGAAACAGGACACCCTTGCTTCCTGAGACACCTGGTAATTGCAGCTGAGTCTGAAACATCGCTGGCTGTTCCCACTGAAGGTTCATGAAAACACAGGTGAGGCTCCACTTATCAGAGCTTGAAAAGTTCCATTTAGATTTAATGCAAGCAATGAAAAGAAGAAGGAAAAGACAAAATGTTAAGACTGTTTAATAAGCAGCTTACAATTAGTCACAGTCCAACCACAGAGAGGAACAGGAATTCCCTTCCCCTATTTCCTGGAAAGAACTGGCTGTCAGAAATAACCTCAGAATAATGTCCCTTCAGATGGCATTCTGACAGTGACCGGTAACAATCAAACAAAAACGTGGTAATGAAACAGAAAACAAAAATTCCATCTAGGTAATTATTGCCCACATGCTCATAAAACGTAGTATAATCTTCAGAGTTTTTATTAAAATTTTGAATGTAATAGCTGGTGAAGGAAGTATGATCTTTGATTTTGGATTTTATTTAAAGAGAATACAAGTAAATATTTTTTTCTTCACTGTATTTATTGGTGATGTTATGGGTTTTTTAAAGTTCATTTACCAGGGATCTAAAGAAAAGTATAACAAAAATAGTTTATGAAATGTGAAAAACTAAAAACTAAGAATAAAAATGGTTAAAATTCCAGCATGACGAAGTCAAATTAATTAAATACATATAAAGGCATATGTGAGATTTAATAATAGGTTGCACAGACATATTAGATTACGCCTTCTTTCTTGCCGGCCAGCAGCAAGATAGCCAACCAGGGTCCTCGAGGCCCAGGCAGGCAGCAAGATAGCCAGGGACCCGGCCCGAGCTTTGTGGTGCCGTGCTTATGTGCCCTCTTTCAATAAGGACATATGTAGCAGAGGACTGGAAGTAGTAGAGGGAACGGACGGTCCGTGTGCTATGGAAAGATGCAGAGAGCAAGGAAGGACTAAGGTGAGGAGTTGGCAGACGTTGGAAGCCTGCATTCCACCTGGATCCGCGGGAACGGCCGTTATTAGACCGGAGGCAGTTCTGCTTGCCACCCACGGCCACGATGATGATGTCCAGGCCGGGCTGCTGCCAAGGGCAATATCGGGGTCTCTGATCCTGCAGTAAGTAGCCGTGGTCTGTGTTGATGTCCATTGTTCCTTTTGCTGTCAAGTGTTATGCTGACTCCAGTAGCCTGGGCTGCCTCCTTTGTCCCTGTTTGAGTCCACGATCCATGCTGCCGCTGGGTCCATAGTGTTCTGGGCGGCCTTTGGAGCCACCAAAGACTGTGACAGCTGGGTCTAGGCTATGGCCAAGGACCATGTCTGGGTCTGGGGTCCTACCACCGAGGTCTATGTTGATGCTCATGTCCCATGGAGTCATGAAAGGTTTAGGGTCTGGGTCTCAACCTGAGGCCTCGTCGGTGTACAGGGGCCAGACTGATCCCGGTTTTCGGGGCTACTATTTGGAGCTAGGATGTTGAAACTATGTTGCTGCTGCCTGAGGTCATGTCTAGGTCAATTGCCCAGCTGCAGCCAGGGACTGTGGTGAAGTCTGTGGTCCAGCTTGCCACTAGGGCTAATACAAAGGCCTGGGATCTGGGTTGAATACCGTGACTCGGTTGGAGTCTGAGGGCCATGCCACAGCAGGGGCCATACAGATATAGGTGAACTGTATAGCCACCCCACGTCATGGTGTCATCTGGGCCCAAGCTGCTCGCGAGGGCCATGTCTGGGTGTGTGACCCTATAGCAGCCAGAGTCTGAAGTGACTTCTGAGGGTACTGTTGCTACCCAACACCATAAGGATGCCCAGGGTCAGATCAGCCACCTGAGCCAAGGTTGGTGTCTGAGGGAAAGGATGCTTCCATATCTGAGTGACCTGTTCTTGCTCTTCAATATCATGGTGAAATCCCCGCCAGAGTTGCAGCTGAGGACCATGTCAGGATCCATGCCCCTACTGCAGTCAGGGTCTGTGCTGATGTCCCATGTACCTGCCATCATCAGGCAGTGTCTCGGGGCCATCCAGACCCAGCCACTATTGAGGACCATGTTGGGATCCGTGGTTCTACTGTGACTGGAGTCTGTATTGAAGTCCGGGTCCTGTATTCTTGCCAAAGGCCACATAGAGGCCCAAGGATAGAGCTTCAACCATTCCCACCTGAGTGGCCGGCCCCCACGCAGAGTCAGGATGTCTACCAGGCCCAAGCTGCTGCGAGAGGGCCATGTCTGGGCCTGTAGTCCAGTTACAGCTCGGGCCTGTGTGGATATCTGTGGCCTGTGTCACCGCAGGAGGCCCTAGGAACCATGAGAGATGAAATTAGAGGACCTTGTTGAGCCAGCCATATCCTTTGCTGGCCTTGGGAAAGCTGGCCTTGCCTGTCACTGGACACTACAGCAAGAGAGCTGGTCCCTGCTCACTGAAGAAATGACCACCCCCACACCCCACAACACAGGCCAGGGTGAGAGACCCTGAGGGCATGCATATATGGGAGCTCACTCCACCCACTTGCCTAGGTGGGTGGCCAGAGTCCTCACCTGACCACCTTGGCTACTATCCAGTCCCACAGTCAGGCCATGGGTTGACCCTAGCATCTACCCCATCTAGATCCTGCTGAGACAGTGAAGGGACTGGTCCTGTGGTGTGATATCCACAAGATGTCCAAGACTTGTGACATCCAGAGGATATCCCAGAGGAGTTCTGGTGAGGATCCAGTGGTGATGCTTTCCCAGAAACCAGAGGCCTTGAAGCAGACAATACGTTGTAGTAGATTTTGCCTGTATAACTGATGGGATAAAGACGTATAGTGTATGTATAGTATATGGTACACTGAAGCCTCCACTGCCACCAGGACGAATGGAAACGTGTGGGAGAAGGAAGATAGGACAGAATCAAAGAGATTGTTCTTTTGTTATGGTTTTTTGTTTGTTTTGTTTTGTTTTTTGTTTGGGGGTGTTGTTTTGCTTTTTTGCTTTTGCTTTTGTTTACTTGTTTGCTTACTTTGATTTGTTTCCTTATGTGGGGGTCAATTTGGCAGGGATTAGGGAGGATGGGGGACAGGGAGGTGAGTGGATTTGGGGTGTATATTGTAAAACTCCCTACCAGTCAATAAAGAAGTTACTAAAATAAAGATTATACATCCCTGTATGGATTTATACCCACATGTACACACACACACTCAAACACTCAACTTAGCTCTAACTTGAAAGTGAATCCTGGCAAGCCTTGTTTCTTGAGAAAATGCAAGTAAAAATAAAGAAAAAATAATTGAATGTCAGCACTACATAGGAGGGGGCAGAAATGAGAAGTTTAAAAAATATCTCCCGTTAAAAATTCATACTGAAGCCAGGCAGTGGTGGTGCATGCCTTTGAATCCCAGCCCTGGAGGTGCAGGGCAGAGGAAGGAGGATCTCTGTGATTTCAAGGATGGCCTTGTCTACAGAGCTAGTTCCAAGAGAGATAGGGCTGTTATACAGAGAAACCATGTTTCAAAGAAAAAATTTCAAACTCATCCCTAAAACTTCATTTGAAATATCTAATATTTAACCACTGTCCCCACTGAGAATTTTATCATTTGAATTTTACCACTAAAAGTTGCAATTTTATCCAAATTCAAAGCACTTAGTATGTTCATGTTCACTTTTCATGTTTACAACATAGATTACAATGACAACATACTGTGTTATCACAAATTCTTCAGCATGATTTCTTCTTCCACAGAAACCTGGCATTGTAACTACCTTGCACAACAGGGAGTGCCTGATGAATTTACTAAATAGATGAGTTTCTTCCAGAAAAAGTTTGGGGTCTGTTAAAGAAAGTTTTAGGTACATGTTCATCTTCTGAAGACATGTAGAAATATAAACAGCTCATACTTTCCAGACATTGCTTTTTGCTTGATAACAAAATAGACCTGACTGCTTAGCACTCAATTTATCTATTTATTCAAATATATTTGTAACTGTCTTCCTTAGACATCTAATTTACCTAGAAAGTCTCTCTTCCCATGGCTTTAAATGGCTATTGATTTTTCTTTTATTTTAAAAAGCTATCAATTTAGTTCCTAAATGTGTCTGATTGATGATTATGAGAATTAAATAGTTCAAGTAAAATTACCTATTTAAATTGTCTATCTCAGTGAATAATGAGTTACTCTTTTGACTTACAGAAATTCAGTTCCTTTATTTACTCCAGTACATGTTTTCAGAGCATAGAGTGCATTGGGATAAAGTAGACTGTCTCCATGCAGAGTAGAACACAATATGTTAATATGTTCATCATGTGAGTGATCATTTCATGTATTGATAAATGAAAGGAAGACTGAAGACTAGCCTTAAAAACAATTTATAACTCAAGAGTTTTGGGTTTATTTTCTTGACTTTATATTTCCATTAAAATAGTTCAACCTGTAAAAGCAAAAAATAAAAAATAACCAGTCATTCATGAATGTGGTAATTATTGCAATTTTAAAAACAAAACAAAATATACAATTAAATTTACTTTAATTTCTATTCTGACTTCTTTCATATTGAGGTATTCAACATTTATTGCTGCTTCAACTGAAAAATCATCTGTCTTAGTTAAGTTTTCTCTTGTTGTGAAGTGAGACACATCCTCCAACAATACCACACTTAATCCAACAAGGCTACACCTCCTAATTATGCTGCTATCTTTGGGGCCATTTTCTTTCAAGCCACCACATTCCATTCCCTGTCCTCGAGGTTTTTAACCATATCATAATGTAAAAATGCATTCGGCCCAACTTCAAATGTCTCCATACTCTATAACATTTTCAAACTCATTTAAACGTCTAAAGTTCAAAGTCTCTTTTGAGATTCATGTAACCTCTTAACTATATTACCCTATAACATAAAAATTAAAAAGATCACATACTTCCAACATATAATGGCATAGGATATACATTTCCATTCCCAAGTGTAGATAAGGAAGCATAGTGAGAAAATACTGGATCAAAGCAAGACTGTAAACCAGCTGGGCAAATTTTAAATCTGCATCTCCATGTCTGCTGTCAAAATGCTCTCCAGATCTCCATATCTTTTAAACTTTGATGACTGTGACATACTTCTTTGTCTTGGGTTGGCTCCACTCCCTGCTAGCAACTTCACAGCTTTACACAATGGCCTAGGTCTCCATCTAGAGACACCTCTGACACATGCCTTGCCTCAGTGACTGTCCTTAGTTCCTGAGGAAGGTTCCATAAATCCTCTCTTCTATCCTTTACTCCAAAGCCAGAATCATGTGGCCAGCAATTGCCAAGTTCTGTTGCCTGCTGTGTCTGGAACATGGCCCCCTTGTTCAATTACATCTTCACCAGCTTTTCTGTTTTCCACGGGTTCCTTCAACTGTCCTGAAACTTGCTCCATAGACCAGGCTGGCCTCAAACTCAGAGATCTGCTAGCCTCTGCCTTTACAGTGTTGGGATTAAAGGTGTTTGCCACCATACCTGGCTCTAAACTTCTCGTTAGTTGACTTTTAAAAAGTTTGAAACTTAGCTGAGCAGGATGTTACCCTGAAGTTTCATTTCACTTAGTCTATTTCTTAATATAATTATTTCCTTGAACACAGGTCTTAGCTCCATTTAACATCTTGTCGTTGCTTTTCTTCTGAGTTTGCTCCTTTTCATTGTAAATCTTTATAAACATGAACATTAGTAACTATATGTCAGAGTCTATACTAGGCTGTGTTTTACGATTTTCTCTGCCAGTAGAATTAATCCCAAACTCTTCTACCAAGAGCAAAAGGCAACAACATTCTTCACCAAAATAACACAAGGATGTTACCTATGCTACATTTTAATATTCTTTTCCTCTGGACCCTCTTGATCCAGACACCCACAGTTCAAGTCATTCTCAGCACCATTGTCTTCCCAGTGTATGGCCCATTAAGTGGCACTTAAAGCATCCCACTGCCTTCCTAACCCAAAGTACAAAAGTCCAAATTCCTCCAAACCAAAACACGGTCCGACTATCACAGCAATACTCCACAGTCCCTGATACCAACTTCTGTCTTAGCTATGATTTTTATTGCCATGAAGAGATATGGCCACAGCAATTTTTATATTTTTTAGTTGATACAATAATTGTGCATATTTATTATGTGTTATG